GTCCCAAGATTATGGAAATGCTGGAGGAATTTGAACGAAAATTATCAAGACGAATTTCCTAACCTATTAATTATCAAATGTATACTAGTGATTCGATGTTAAACTGTGAAAATGTAATTGAAACCGATTCAGGACAACCGCAAAGAGGCGAGTCTGGAATTCTTGGAATTTTAAAATCTCAATGAGCTTGGGTATTTTTCAATTTCGACCATGTAACTCAATATTGGATGTCGAATATTGGATTATCGGAAGATCCACGATCCATGACGAAACTTCGACAACGAGATTAATAAGTGAGGATCAAATTCTGTAAGGTTCAATTTCTGGCCTGACCTTTAGGCGAAAATTGGATTTTCCGGCTTCCTTGTTTCTCGGTTGCGTTGGTTTTTTTTTTTTTTTTTTATCATCACGTTATATCGTTTCGTTATCAGGAAAGCAAGGAAAAAGCCTGTGATATTTTGAAGAAATGAGAATGGAAATATACAATGGAAAATACGATGTGCAGTTGGATCGCGTGTCTGTGGTATGAAGCAACACGTTGTGGTCAGAAATCGAGGGGTAAGCTTCGGAAAAGGAACATTTATCAGCGCCATGCTATATTTGGGTCTTGAATAAATTGACTTTTTGCACACGTCGGAGCGGAACCAATGGAAAGAAATTACCAACCAGATAAAATCCTGATGATGTCAGGTCGCGCCAACCATGGTTTACTTACTCAGCTCTTGCCAGAGAAAAGGCAAGATGGCTGTGTTTGATTTACCAAGATTGCCTGCACGTCCGCTCGATCAATCGATCAAAGAATTGATGACAAATGAGCAGAATAGTAAATAAAGGAAATTTATTTCAAGCGTGAAAATTGAATTTAACGAGCAGTTTATTGTAATTATAGTTAGAATGGTGCAAGATTGCCAAGATTAATTAAGAAGCTAAAAGACTTAAGCTACGAAGTGATAAAGGAATGAGAAAAAGATAGGTTAGATGGCGTTAAGAATGATTTCCAAAGATTAATTTGAAAATATGCTATTCTATTAAATTTATAATAATTTGATAAAGATAGATATATTTTTATTGACAATATTTAAAAATCAAAATTGAGACAATGATAAAAAAAAACTGTATCTTATTACAATCGCAATTAACGAAATTTTTGATATTCTTTCAGATCAGGTTTTCAGTTTGAATAAAGTTCATGAAACTTTATGTCAGATGATCCAGTTTATATCTCGTCATGATAAACGATCGATATATTGGTTTATCGACACATAATGAGATAAGGATATAGTAGATGGCGCAAAAGAAGCATTGAAATTTTGATCGCTCTCCGATATTGTTCGCAGAGCTAGGATGAAAATTTTATCTCGTTCCGCCTGCTGGCGGCGTTTTATTTATTTAATGACCCGGCCATAGGATGTAATTAAATAGCTCGCTTTTACTGCACAAAACGACTGGGCTTTCGGGCAAATATTAATCAACCGTAGAGAGAAGGGATATTCCGTTTCGTTAACGACTAATGCACAATTGAAAAGCGACCTCACTCGAATATAATATTACAAAATACACCGTTGCCACGTTTTATTTATAATCGGGCACTACATGCATCGGGCAAGGTTTGCACGGTCCAGAAAGTTTGATTTTTGGCAACGACAAGCCCCCGCCATCGCATACAACACTTATTTCCTTCTCTTTTCAGTACTTCCTGGCACTTTTCCCTGCCAACTTCGTTCAACCACATATGTGCAGTCTTCCTATTCTACGTATACGTAGAAACATTGCATCTATCTAACACCCGAGAGATATATAGTTGGATCCTGCAAACAGAAATCTATAGATACTGCTTCCTTGTTATAAAAAAAGTCTCGCTCATTTAGCTTTCATTTCCTGAGTTCTGAAAACCATTTCATTTTAAAACGGATATCTTTTATATTATGGATATCTTTTATATTCGACATATATTTAATCATTGAATAATTTTTCATCTCAATTCATATGTTCGCTACAATTTGAATGATCACAATCGAAGAAATTTATCAGGTATTAATATTTTTTTTTTCATTTTTATATAACGTAACATCGTGTAACAACCAAATACATTAATCATTCCTCATATTTTTCTTAGATGCTCCGTCTTGCTCCGACTACGAGGCCCGAATAGCACCGTAATACATCTTGAACATCTTCCATCTTCCGCGCAACAATTTCCGCCTTATTTATTACCAGTAATTTTTAATATCGCGTTATTGCTGTGCACTACCTATGAATGTAGGAGAGTTTCGCTATGAAATTTCTCACGTGGAAACCGACTTACCCAATCTCTCTCTCTCTCTCTCTGTCTGTCTATCTCTATGGTATCACTTATTCCTAGGAATTTTAATTTTTTTGGCACTCTTCCCTGGTTGAACCAAATCCGTCTATTCATTGGATAGAAGACTGTAACAAGTGACACGGGCTTCGGATAAAGTGGCAAAAACGAAAATGGACATTGTCGAATTTTCGAATTGAATGGTGGCCGATTTCGATCGGTATATCGGTTTCATGCTGAATGGAGGGGAACTGGTGGTAGATTTTCGAATCGCGAATCGACTGGCCAGAAGGGTGAAATGAATGAAAGCGGTCACGAGGCTCTTCAGTCTCGATATCGGGGCCAATGTAGCGGCGGCGAAGGCATCGATTTTCGAGGCGTGCATACCAATATCGAGGGATATAGAAAGAAGAGAGTGGCTCGGTGGCGCGGCAGCCCCGTGAGAGGCTATAATTAAGCAACAGGTTGTAGCTTCTTCGCGGAAATTTATGAGCGACGCCCGATGCGGGACGATCCACCGTTTTGAATTGAATTTTAACCTGCCTCTGTTCGGCCCTGTCTTCGAGCCCCACACGCTTTTTGCGAACCGGCATTCCCATCGATCGGCCACCGCTCGGGGGGGAAACGGCAATTGATTGTAAAAAAAAAAGGCCGCCGCGTGATCAATAACGCGGAAAGAGGCGCCGCTTGCCAACCGGCGGTGAAGGTGAACCTGGAACCGTTCCGCCCGTCCTGCCCCTATTTCGGCCAAGATTAAAGGGTAACCGAGATGGCAAATGTTAATGGAACGGAATAGGAAGTTCGTTCACCACTCTTCCCTGAAGAATTTTCAATGTGCAACCGGCCAGGATAGAGAAGCTAACGAGCTTTTATCGGGCGTAGCATGCCAAGAATAATGGTAAACGATTTTGTTGAAACGAAGGATAATACTAATTTTTTTTTTCTTTTATTTATTCTTTTACGATTTTAATTTTGTAGATCTCTCCTCGATAAATTATATTGCAAAGAAAGAGAAAAAAAAAGAAGATTCATTCAAAAGATTCAAGATTCGAAAAGGAGAGTAGGAAATAACCTTCTGCGGCGTCACGGCCTCCCTCCTAGGGAAAGAATTCAGCTGGTAGGTCCAATTACAGAAATCGGTGGGGCGATCATCGTATCGTGGATCCGAAGAAGGGCAAAATACACGGCCAATTTGCGTGGAAAGCCGCGGCAATACAGCCGAATTGGAGCGCGAGGAGGTGGAGCCGGAGTTGTTACGCAAAATCGTTCCTTCCTCGGCCGCGTTTCTAAGTACCCGGCGCCAACCATCCAGGATCCAGTAAAAGCTTGAATCGTCGATCCACGATCTCCAGCCTGCCTCCATTCTTGGCCGACGATCCACCCGGCCTCAATTTTGCATCGATGAAAACGACCGTGGCGCGGAAGGGGAAAGGTGGGAGGGGGAGGCAAAATCAGGAGGATGTTAGACAAGGAGGAAGGAGGAGTGGAGACGGTTGATCCACCGCGAAGAGGTCCTCTCAATCCGCAGTCGATTTTCCCGTGCACCGACCCAATTTCGAGGCTGGTGCGGGCAATTTAACCAAGGCCCCGGTTCGTGTGTTCGCTCCCCCCTCCCCTCCTCTTTCCCTGTATTACCGTAACGCCGATTCTTCTCGTCGTATAACGGTTGAAACTGATTTTAAAATCGGTCGCGGAAACGTTGCNTGTGTGTGTGTGTGTGTGTGTGTGTGTGTGTGTGTAAGCAGCAATTGGAAAATTTATAAAGGCATTCTGCTGAAATTCAAACAAACAAAAGTTGTTTTCCTATTTCTTTTTTCTCGTTCACCGCTTATTGAAAGATTGAAAAAGATATACGAAGATATAATCATCGAGGGAATCATCGTACTTCCAACCTCCGATTTTTCGGTATTCAATCGACGGTGCTCGTTTAAGTTGTTTGCAATTTCACTGTGACACTCGAGTACGAGGCGGTCCCGTGTATTTGTGAACCGGGGCCAAATTACCATATTCCAGTCTCGGGTACGTGTTCCTGGGCCGCGTTTGGCCCGGATTTCACTCGGCTTCACTTAATAAACAGAACCTTTCGCGGCACGTGTATCACGCAGTTTTTCGTTTAAATTCTTTATTTATTTATTTATTTTTTTTTTTTAGGGGATTTATCCACTTTTAGGATCCTCACATCCGTCTCTTCTTTTTCTCTCTCTCTCTCTTTCTCCTTCTTCTCAATGATGACAACGAAGAAGAGGAAAGGAAAGGAAAGAATTATCACGAACACCATTATATGATTAAAGCAAACTGGTGCCGACTATTTGTACTAGGAAATAGGAGACAGATCCCAGGCACGGGAGGCAAATATAAGCGGTTGAATAGAATTAGCATAATCCTTGCTATTATCTCCGAGAGTTTCAGGCCTCTTTGTCCAATGTTACGTGCCCTACTATATACACTTAAATAAGTGTTTCGCTTTTATGAAATCGTTGTACACGTACATATTTTTAATATTGTGCGAATAATCTATTTAAAGGTTTTATCCAACGTCAACGTTTTCTTATAAAAATAATAATAATATTATTATTATTATTATAAGAAATAATAAGAAACGTAATATTTCTGATAAAATTCTATTTTTCCCTTTTCCTTTTTCAAGTTTGCCGTTCTCTCGCTTGATGGCGCTCTTACTTTTTTCTTTCTTTTTTTTCAGGGTGAGGGG